TGATCCCCAATAATTTAATCTATATATGGACTTAACCTTGAAAGAAGAATATTGGACAAAATTTTATATGAAGTTGATAGCAGTGATATCCCCCGATAATTACTAGAGTCAGTTTTATCACCCTGCTTAAGAACTGGTACAATAGTAGACTCCTTCCACTGATCAGGCAATTTTTCCTTGTGTCAAATAGAAGTAATTAGATTGTGGACCTTGGAAAGTAATATTTCACCTCCTGCTTGAAGGAGTTCTACCGGAAATTGATCACCACCTGTCTATTTATACAGTGTCAATTTTGCAATAGCACTTCCAACCTCAAAAGGGCTAGGATCAGGTATTAACGGCTCAGCTGTATGGATTTCTGTCTGCCTAACATCACTGACCCTATGTACATTCAATAACTGAGAGAAGTAGTTCCTCCACCTGTTCAAATTGTTGTGGGAATCTGTAAGCAGATCAACATTCTCATCCTTCACTAAGTTACTGCTAGGCTGGTACCCCTCTTAAAGTCATTTGTTCATCTATACAGGTCTCTAATGTTCTTGTTCTTTACCCTCTACCTCATTTAGTTTCTTGAGATTGAACCTCTCCATATGAACTCTGTGTGTTGCTTGTTTGCTCTCTGCCAGTCTTTCCCTAACCTTTGCCACCACCAGGTAGTGGTCAGTATCACAATCTGCTGCCCTGAATGATCAGACATCAGGTATACTTGAGTGCCGTCTCCTACCTATCAAAATGCGGTCTATTTGATTGTGTATCTTCCCATCAGATGTCCCAAGTAAATTTATGGATGTTACGATGTGGGAACATTGCACTTTTCACAGTAAGATTTTTTGATGTGGCAAAGTTTACAACTCTAACTACATTATCTTTACTAATTTCATGCAAGATCCCATTCCCAATTCTTGGTTTGAAAATGTCTTCCCTCCCTACTTTGGCATTGAAATCTCCTAACAAAATTTTCATAGGGTACTTCGGGAATTTATCAAATACATGTTTTAGTTCTTCATAGAATGTATCCTTTATGTCATCAATTTTATCTTCTGTTGTGGCATGAACATTCATAACAATTATATCACGCCATCGACCTTTTATTATTATATGTGATACCATATCACTACTGAATTCTACCCTCCTAACTGCTGATACGATTCTCTTATGCACGAAAAAACCTGTACCTAATTCATGATTTTCATTCCCCTTTCCATAGAAAAATGTATAGTCTCCTGCTGGTGCGATGCCTGGGGTTGAGATTGTCAGCCTTACATTTCCGCAGCCTTTAACCCCGAGAAGATTTCTGATACTCATTTCTGCTAGAAGCTAAGTCGACCACAAGGCCATAGTGCAGGAGGAAATATTAGGTCAGTTGAAAAATCCAATGACATCGGGAATCGAAAATGTGACCTACCAGCTTGTAGCATACTGCCTCAACCAACTGCACTACCGCATGCCCCCGTGTACGGTGTTGTACAAAGTAAAATGCATCCTTCAGTGGTCGGTATCAGATTAAATATTGGTAGTAGGTGTTTGGGGCGGGTATCGAACTCAAGACATGAAATAGTGGTGACGCACTCCGGTAAAATGTTTTTTTTTTCTTCTTTTTATTGCTAGTGGGGTAGGACTAAGTCCCTCGTTCTGTGGCCACTTCTGGCCTATTGTACCAGCCCCAGATGATAAGTGAGGGTGATGCTGGAGCAATTTGTGGAATGAAGGGGAAACCGAAGTACTCTGAGAAAAATTGCACCAGCACCACTTTGTCCACCACAAATCTCATGTGACCAGACCCGGGATCGAACCCGGGCTGCCGGGTGGGATGCCAGCGACTAACCGCTTGAGATATGGCACGGCCCTACGGTAAAATGGTTACTGGCTTCACTTTCATATTCTCGTATCATGTTAAAAAACATGTCGAGTTACTTGAATCTGAAATCGCTCCAGATTCTCACTTGTCAATAATGTTCAGTGATACTGAGTGCAATCAGATATCGCGGGCTGGCTTCGTAAAGATCCATTGTTTCACTTACTCATCAACTTCAAGAACTGAAGC